CTTGACATGAAGATGTAATTTCTACATATGACAGCAGAAACACAACAACAATATTTCTGAATGCTTGAATCTACTCTACCTACTCTTAATTAGTCACCATTACAAATAATTCAGTTGACACTCTAGTTCTAGTATGAGAAGCACAGCGTAACTGCTGTAAGAAGTAGCTGGTAGCAACATACTTAAGTAAGCAGTTAGTTATGCGCGATGCCACGGTTACGTGCACGCCGTGCATTAATGCCGGTCGTTCATTGACGCTTCGTCTTCGGCGGCCGGCCATCGCGAGTCGCTGGCTCTTTCAAGGCCGTGCCGCGCATTGCTTTCGCGGGGAAATATTTCTACTACATATTCCAAGTTGAGATGAGACCTAAAATACGTGCGCGGTGCAATTAACTTTTTATTCATTGAAAAATTGCGATGGGAAATTAAATAAATCCAAAAAACACAAAGTAGAACATTTGATGATGAAAATCTTTAAATTTAATAAATTTGGTTACTGCATGACTATGCATTAATAAATAAATAAAACTTGTGCATTGTTAGCGCATATTTATGCCGATGTTTTACAGTTATCATTGGGGTATGACTGACTGCATGATGTATAATTATAATAATAATGTATAATATGACCATATGTATCATATTATGACAAAAATGTGTGTTTATAGGGCAAACACAGACGACAACGAACTAGTAGCGTGCAAAGAAATAATCAATATCAACTTATTCCTTATTCATTTGTAGTGTGCAATTTTTTGAGGTAAAATTTAAAAAAACTTGTTTCCAAAAATGTTTACTTTCTTCTTTCTTCTTTCTTCAAGTACCTACTACCTGAATATCTATAGACTGATTGTATTGTGTTAAAACGTGTTTTTATGTAAAACTCGCAAATTACAAGTTAATGTATTTCTGGGAAGTTGTCACACCTCACTACACCGAACGCCCATCTCTCATTCACATCCCTCCTCTATTGCATTTCTAATGTAATGAGCGCATTCGTGAACGATCACGTGTGAAAATGTCGGACACGTGAGAAATGTGCGTGTGCAGCGCTCGTTTGCTGCTACTGTGTGTTCATCCGCTGGTAGTGGGTAATAACAAAAAGAAGCGCCTGCGAATGCTGACACAATCTGCACTCAAACTAACTACGCACGTAGCAAGTAGCAAATGAAACAAATAAGGGTGGAGTCGAGAGAGGAGTCATCCCGTCACGAAACCAGCATTACCACAAGTCCTGTGAGTCATTATCAGGTAAACGCGTTTTACTTTGTAATTAATTTTCCACATAACAAAGAAATTAAGAAGGGAAAATGTGTCTTCAGAGGATAAGAATATTAGAAGCAAAAATAATAATTTTCTACTTCCAGCTTTAAAACGCTGGTTTTTTCATGGTTTTGACGCACAAAAAGTTGTACTTTAAGCACAGAGGGCCAAAGCCGTGACTAAAGTACTTTAACTGCCTAAAAAAACTCCGGATACTTTTATTTCACTTCTTATGCAGTAAATAAAAGAAAACGTCAACAAACAACACGAAAACAAATTAAACCTCATCAATGATTACCCAATTAGTCACATAATTGAATATAACTCTCGTTATAACATCACCAGATGAATGCAATCTTTCAATACTCTACTACTCCTACCCTAACCTACCAGTTGTTTTTAGAATCCCTTTTTCTATGTCCCGAGTGATTGTTCTGACAGCTGTGATTCATTGCAATGATTTATTCCACACCGTTTGATTTATCTGGTATCTCATACAAGTCCGTTGTTTACTGGTCTTCCAGTGTGTAAATGACTTAGACTTGCGCATACCAGCATAATGTGTTGCAACACAGCGTCGTCTCGAATGTCATTCTTTGTAGTGATAACAAATTTTAATTGGAGCGTTGTGGAGCATTGTGCTGTACGCAATGCAGCGCGCGTTGTAATAAAAAAGCCCCCTATGTTTTAATTTTATAATTCATCGGTTAAGACCGGCGTCTCGTGTTACTTCCACTTAAATCATATCAACGTGAATGCGTAATGTAAATCATGCGAGATAAGTATGTGATTTGACGTGTTTTCGTTTTGATTTTTACGTGATTTTTATGAATGGATTAAGATTAAATTCGTATTATAAATGAGAAACTTTCGTTGGTTGTAGATTTATTTTATGATCTACTTCTGCAAATATCATGCATGTACCGTGAATAGTTTTTGTGTAATTAAATTAAAACCACGTCTATTGAAATTTTATTCTCGCGATACTTAAAAGTACAAAAGAAAGTAAAATTTTTATTTAAATCATCTCGAGAATGTTTTTCTCCTAGAAACGAATTTAACGTAATTTATTTAATGTTTTTTATATTTTTACAATAAATTACTACAACACTGCTTCTAATCTAAAACCGTCACAATATGCTTGGAATTTTTTCTTTCTCTGTATCTCCAAAGGGATAAATTATACTAGAGTATGTGTCAGATGGATAAACCCCTAAAACACATCAATTTATTGCCGCACAAACATAAACATGACTTAGTATCGAACACAAAAACCAAATACAGTCACAAGCTAAAAATAAACTCCATATTCCATGCAACCATGAATCCCTACATCAAAAAGGTGTGGAAATAAGACGAAACGAGCCGACACGTTTCGGATCGCTTGAGTTATGAGTCAAGAACCGAGACGATCATTGACAGATGAGCGACAAACGCGTCAAACCGCCGAAGATCCCTCAATCGTGCTGCACGTGCACTATGCATCAGCGTAAGCTGCGAACTGCAATGGGGCGCGTTTTAGTGAAACGTTAATGATGATGATGTATGCGCGTTGATGCCTTGTTTATTTTTACATGAAAGTTAAATCAATCAATCCCGGAAGAAAACAAACTTTTTCAAAATATAATAAAAATTTCTTTCTACAGCAGACGTTTTGGATACTAATAAACCACAACAAAATTAAAATAATGTTTTTTCTGAATTTTTTAAAATAATTTAAGCAACAATGTGAAACTATCCCTTCCTCCTCAACCTTTAATGTCTTTCTTGTGATATCCATGATATCACAGACCATTCAACATAACCTTGAGTACGTTCTACGTTGTAAGTACTTGAAGTACGATTTTTATTCACACACACGTAATGGTGGTTACATTCAAGCGCTGTTTGAGTTGTGAGTGTAATTATTGACAGGGTTATACTAGTGTTGCGTCTCTCACATATATATTCCTTGCTCTGTTCACTATTCGAGCGTGCGATGCACCAAGGCAAGGCAAACCGTAATGCAACTCTACACAATCGTAGAGGCGACTTAAAGCATTCTAAAGTCCAGCCGCACCGACTTAAAGCAGAGAGAGCGTTGAGCACGTCCTGCCCTGCGCGAGCGTCATTGTACGAGTACTATATCTCTGGGAGTGCATCGTGCAATGTACTTCAAGAGAATCACACCAATACATAAGGCGTTTCCATGAAATGATTCCAGCATGTTTGAAATCATATTTGCTAATTTGTTTCTTTTAAAGTATTTTTGGAAGAAAAGTGAAAGTTTAGGTTGGGTACTGCAGGAATATAGTTGGGATTAGCGCTACTACCCCCACCACTTCTTGCGGGTCGTGTGCAAAAGCGCAGGTATAAAAGGCGGGTGCAAAGGGCGGCATGGGCTCAGTCCTTCCTAAGTCGTCCAGCAGTCCAGTCGCAGGGTTCAAGGGTTTCTCCTCCTCCTATATATTCCTTTATATAAAAAATAATTAAAATAAAATAAACAGTTTACGGTGAAATATTACATATCACCTTCATTTTTTCGTGATTTCTCGCCATTTTAAGCTCAAAGTATACCATTAAAGATAAAGATGCGCTAATATTTCCTTGAGGTTTTACGAGTGCCATGTCATACGTAAGATAATTAAATGAGATATTAATTAATATAATCGCGGTTGTACGGGCGTGGAAATTGCAAGTAAACGACGCATGCGCCATCGATGTTATTATAGCCTGCTTATAGAGACCACACCTCACCGCAACGCTTAATAGCAAATGATACAACCTGTTCAAACTAAGCACCTACATACTAGATAAACTTTTATCTAGTGATAACGATGAGTAGGGTGATACACATTGTAAATATAAACGTTTTGTAACACCTAATATTTGAAAACTTTAATATTACGTTTAATTATGTTAAAAATATACTTTTTTTTTCGGGAATATAAAGTACTTTAGTCACGGTTTTGGTCGTCCATGTATAAAGTATCACTTTTTGTGCCTAAAAACCGTGGAAAAACTAGCATTTTAAAAGTTAAAATAAAAAAATTTAATTTTTAAGCGTTTTATCAGTAATAATCAACTAATTTTCGCGAATATATCATGAGAATTCAAAAGTTAAGAAAACTACTAAGGAAATGAAAACTAAATGAAAACGATACTTACCAAATCACAATTATAAAAAAACATTGTGAAACGTGTGACTAATAAAACCTGTAATCATCTTTAGTTGAAGATTTTTCAAAACTACTTAGGTAAGTACATGTGATTCAGCTTTCTTGAATCATTCTCAATTAAAAGATGACTCATAATGCTAACAGGTACATTGTTTATAGTAAAACAAGTAGCTATGTAACTAAAACTTTAGTAATTCACTGAAAAATCTGCGGTTTAAGGTTTGAGGTAACCATAGATAATTTATTACGCTATTTACGAGCACAATTCGCCGAAATTCTTAAATTCGGCAAGTTCTTCTTTCCTCAAACCAAAGAATTTGAAATCTGCCGACCGTTCGCATATTACCTCCAGCTACCTGGAATTTCCGACCGTAATAAATTGGTTTTTCAGAAATTTTATGTGTAAAACTACTAAATACACTCTTTATCTATCAATAACAAATATAAAATTGATAAGATAATAAATAAAAGTAATCATCAAATTACATTACATGTTGATACAAATTTGATTAAACAAAATCAAGGGAAAACAAATTTGCTTTTCGGTTAAAAATCTATTGGGTTACTCGCATACTCTACCTTCGAACTCTCTGAATCCCGAAGAACCCGCGCTGTGAACGGCCATCGCGCACAACAGCACCGCTGCCGCTGCAGCCACGGCACTCGAGCATGTCCTCCACTTCATTTTCCTTTCTGCACTTTTTCACTGCACATATGCATGCACGTCGCACAATGCACCCACCAAACAATCGAAACCAGCCACACTGCGTGCGTGTGAGTATGCACGCACTTAATCCTATGTGTATTCCACAGGTCGATGTCCAACTGTTTTAAGTTAACAACAAACAAATGAAGCAGCGCACGCGAGCAAGAAGATCACTTCTTCTAAAATGGCTCCACGTTCCAGTCTCGGGTGGCAATCACAGGTAAGCGCAACGCGCGCGCCACGCCACTCTCGCAGGTAATCCAGGTACGCTGACGATGCTTCACTTGTTTCACTTTGGTTACGCGTTTGCGAGTCGATATTCGGAGATCGATCGATGCCGCTTGTGCTGGCCGCGCATTATTGTTGTGTTATTCGTGGACGTGTGCACTGCGCGATGCTCGCGGTGGTTTAAAAGGTTCCGGCCGGTTGGCGCACACGGCAACTAAACTAAACGCAACAGGCCGCCGCGCAACTTCGAATGGTGTTCGAATGCGAGCGCACGAGCGCAAGTTTCGTGAGACGCAGATAAGATGGCGTCATACACGGCGCATGCGCAGTACAGCAGAGTGCGGAGAGAGTTACAACAAACTGTCAACAAATAATTAAATAAATAGAATTACTTAAATATTTGTAATCTACATGTTTTTAAAAAAAGATTTAGTGATATTCAGCAAACATTCAAACTTCCTGATAGTTGACAGCTTAGAAATATGAATAAAATAAATAAATTTAATAAACATTGATAATATATAAACAAATAGATGTGTACTACATCAAATATTGCTTTTTTGTGTAACGATTTAGTGTTTTTAGTATGAGTAACGCATTAAATTGCTTTGATTTTGATAAATTACACAAGCTATACATAAAGAAAGTATCGTGACTATAGGCAACCCAATATACACCAAAACAAAGCACGCTACACCTCACATTTATTACATTTAAAATTCTCTCACTATTCTTGCACAGTACGTGTAGTAATCAAATAATTTATTTACGAGGAATGTTAACAAAAATTTAAGACATATAATATATATACATTTGCATTCAAACATTAAATAGATAATACTAGCTTAGTTACACGTGTAAACACGAACGTAGCAATTAAAATCGTAAAATGCAATCACTTCCAAGCTGTCTGAGTAGAGAGATTAGCCGGACGCAGTCTAGTGCATCCCCGAGCCGGTCATTTCATCGCAGAGCGACGCCAGCGCAGTGCACTCGGCAATCTTCTGCTCGAGTGTTTGCTGCAGCGACGCGTTCTTGATCTCCTGCCGTTTGATAAGCGTGTTGAGCTTACCAATTTCGGTTCGGTGTGCTTCTTTTGCTGCTATCAGGTCTTTATTCGCTCTGTAAATAAATATAACATTCAGATTTAAATGATATCATAATCTGCTATCGGGAACACGGTATTTTCCTTGAATTCATAAAAAATTATTAATCGCAGGTTGTTCTAAGCTCAAAAGTGCAAATTTAAACCTCACTAAATCAAAATAATAATTATTTTTAAATATTATTAACTGATAATAATTCTTAGAACCAATCTAAATATAATTTTAGATGATCATAACCGATTTAAAAGATTATATCAAACAATTCAATCAGATTATAAATTAAACTGTAGATATTTTGCTGTGCGTTCATCGAAAAACTTAAAATAAATTTACAAACACTTACTTGTCTAATTGTGAGTTAGCATGACTCTTTAGCGTCTCATAACGCTCCTCATATTTGATGGCAATTTGATTGCTCTTCTCCAGCCGCTCCTTCAACGTCTCCTCATTGCGACTGAATCCAGCAATAATCTCCTTGCACCGATCGTATTTGGTGATTGTATCTGAGAAAGACACCTCCAACGCAGCCAAATGCTGTGTGACCGTCGTGTGCTCCGTCTTGAGCTTCTCCTTTTCGCAGTTGTTAGCACTCAGCGTCGATTCATATTCATTCATTATTTTCCTAATATAAAACAATATTAATAGCAATTCATAGAAATAAATAAATAGTCTTCACTTACTTATAATGTGCAATCTCTTCCAAAAGCTTTTTGATCTCTGCCTGACTCTGTTTTAGTTCTTGTTTAACTTCAGATAACTCTTCATTGTTGTTCTGCTCCTTGGCAGACTCCAACTTCTCCATAAGTTGTTTCAATTCCAACTCATACTGACTCTCTCTGAGAGTACTGTTAGCCTCTGCTTTGAGATATACCTCCTCACGCTTCTGAATCTCCAGAGTGAGTGTTGTGTTCTCCTGCTTAACCTGATTAAGTTCTAGTTTGAGACGGTTTACCTCCTGGATGAGATTCATCTTCTCTTCGTTGACGGCATCCATGGCTTTCTTGTGTTCAACGTCAAACTCCAGATCAACGTCGAGCAATCGCCCCGAAGACTTTGGGCTTTTTGTCACTACCAATGGCAAAGTCCTAATTGGCAATGCTTCTAATTTAGACTCTTCAGTCTTACCATTAACCCTATGTGTAATAAAATGTTTTATTTAATCACAATGGAAGTAAAAGTATTTATTCAAGTACTTACAAGTTAGCAAGAGGGTCAAATTGAAGAAGTAACGAAGGCCGTGGCTTGTCGCGTATCTTCTCGCGGTTTGCCTGCTCGTTGCGGTCGCCGGCTGAAAATAATCCGCCGAGTATATTAGTGTCGGTAGTGTTTCAAACGCGCCAAAGGTCATGAGCGCGCACTGCGGCCGATCAGGGCGATCGAAGCGGGTGCAAATCAAACATTCGCTAGCATTTGTTTCAGACGTTTCACGCGAACTAACTACCGCGCGAGTAGGAGTTTCGTGTGCTTATTGGGAGAGACCGAGGGCGTACGCTCACTGCGCTACCGCTGTTGACGTACACATCACAGAAACGAGTCGAACGAAACGGCTACGTATCGAATTATGACATCACGGCACCTCCACAAACAAAACCAACGCTAGCGGCTAGCTGACGGTCCGCAAGAGTAGACTACGGACACAGCATGACTAATAAAAGCGCACAACACGAGTACAACAAGACGCGATTGGAAGTGCACGCACGCAGCAGGAGTAGGAGTGGGAGGTGAAAGTTTACGCTTGCAGGAAATAGTGCGAGATATGAGTATACACATGCGATGAAAGGAGATGGGTGTTGAGTGAAGTGAGTGAGTGAAACAAATGGTAAATAGAGCTTTGCTTGTTCGGCGCATGTTGATGCAGCTGCGCCCTGCGCCGGCAGTGCACTGCAGTTTAACATAACCAAAAAAAGCAAACAAACAAAACTTGTTTAGGTTTAAAAATAAGCAAGTTGTGTTAACGTAACATAACCTCAAAATTATTTAAAATATATACTCACCGGCATTTTTGATGTTTTCCTTGTTTTCGGCCAATAGTGACGGGTGAGTTTCTTTTGCAGGTGTTAATTTATCCTAAAAACAAAATAAACAATAAATAGCATTAGAAATTAACATGTTACTTATTTTAGACTCATTACTGAGCCGAATTGAGTATAATTGAAGCATTTTCACAAAGTAGCAATTGCGTTGCCATAGCAACAACAAACAAGACAATAGTCGCACACAATGGAAACAATGCAAAATTTCGCGGTGCAATTTAAGCAAATTGCAAATTATTATTAAAAGAGCTGGCGATTGGAATTGTTTCAAAATAGGAAATTCAAATTTAAATAATGTAAGTGTGAAATATTACCAAAAATATTCCGTTAATTCTTATCTAATCAATATGTAAAATATTATTACATTATTATAATATCCACCCATGGTAACATATCGTTTGAAAACACTAGTAACAAACTCCATAATATTGCGCATTACAAAACTGACAATTGTAAAACACACGAAAACACAAAGCGTAGTGAGCACGCAACTTTTCGCGGTGGTTGCCGATTGCGAACTTTGCCAAAATACAGTTTGGCCTGACGGCGACAGCGTCGACGCATCCTGGGTTAATTTTAGCTGCGCTTCAGACGCCGCAGCCGCCTCGACCCTGATCATGAGCGCGGAAAATTTGTCAACTGGCAGGAAATCGGAACAGCAAAAGAAATAAAACGCAACACGCGCGCACAGACAGCACGGAGGCGGCAAGAGACACCTAGGTGCAGCAGTACGTGCACGTGCAGATGGTAAACTTGAACTAGATGCGCATTAGAAGAGTGTTGGACGCGTGCCTACTGGAGATTTTCCTCAAGAGTATAAATAGATGAAAAACACAAGACTAAAAATAATTCCATGGCGGACAATATCATCTACTACCACAATTAATGCCTAAAACACGAAGGAAATAAAATGGTTAAAAATACTTACTTCATTCATCCGGTTGGCGGCTTGTAAGACTTTCTCCTGCTCCTGTTGCAGCATCTGCATCATCGTGCCATTCTCCAGGGTGCAATCCAAGAGATTACTGCTCTTGGTATTTGTGGTGTTCAAGCAATCACCGCTTGCAATTCCGGATTGATCAAATAGTATCATTGTGGAGTTATTTAGTGGTGAGTCTTCTGTTTTTGTGCGTGTGATGCTTTGGAAAGCGTCATGACACGCCATTAGAGCGGTTTTCATAAGTGAGTTAGAATGGCTGACATTTTTTATTGGCAGAGGAGATTTTGTTATATCTGGCTGAGATGGTGGAACAGCGTCAGTCACAGGATCAACTGCTGGTAGTGTCTGTTCGGCATCTTCAAAAATGACAGTATTGTCTTCATCAGTTGGATTAATATTAAGTTCCTCCAAATTATCATTGTTTGTTGAGCAGGGAGCAGGTTGTATAGGCGAAACTTCATTTTCAAGTAAATTTACATCAGTTTCAACTGATTCAAGAGGTTTTTCTTCATGGGTTAAGATATTTTGAGAAATCTCTTCATTTTTGATTAAATTTACATTAGTTTCAACTGATTCAACAGGTTTTTCTGCAAGAGTTGTAATATTTTGAGTGTTCTCTTCATTTTTGATTAAATTTACATCAGTTTCCATTGATTCAACAGGTTTTTCATCATGAGTTATAATATTTTGAGAGATATCTTCATTTTTGATGGTATTTACTTCCATTTCAACTGGTTTTACTGCAGATTCCAAAGAAGGGGTTATATTTGAAGGAATAACCTCATTTTCAATAGAAATAACCTCACTCTCAGCTGAGTTAAAACATATTTCTTCAGTTATAGTAATATTTTGAGGAATATCTTCAATTTTATGCGAATTATCTTCTGTTTCAATTATTTTTACCTCCATATTAACATTTTCTAAAGTTTTCTCAGTTTCTCTCTTTTTCTGTGTCAGCGAGTTGAAAAATGTTGATAACTGCTCATTGATAACTTTATTATCTGCAATTGGCACTTCTGCTTCGACAACTTCAGGGACATCTTGATAATTACCCGATGAATGCCCCGAACTGCCTTCAGCCTGCAGATATTCCTCTGCATCCTGCTCATTATTGTGTGTACTCAACTCTTGAGTGACATTTATTTGTGATTGAGACCGACTGGCATCAAACGTCCCATTGGCAATCACAGTGACTTCAGCAGTAGAATCTTTTGATTGAATCGACAAATCACTATTAACAACATTAGAATTCGCCATATTAACCGGCAGATTATTACCAATAATCGAAATGTTTTGAATACATGAAATGTCAGCCATGTTGGTGTTTAGATTTTCGCTGGGCAATTCAAACGTGGAATTTAAATTCATATTCGCTGCATTGCCATTCATATGGCTTGCACTCATATTAAGACTCACATCTACCATCTGGTTGCCATTTGTATCTCCATTGACGTTAACACAATTATTATCCACACCAAACGTCGAGTTCAAATCTTTTTTACCCTCAACGCTTGCATTCATAACCTCATTTGTAATATTCAAATGCTCATGTACAATACCTCCGTTTTCGTTGGTGTGAATACTTTCGTTGTTCTTAATCTTAATGTCTTCGCAATTAAAAGTAGAGTTCAATGGTTCTGGATGCTGGTTAGGCGTAATCACCTGATTGACCTGCACATTGTTCATGTAGTCTGCAGCGATGAAAAGCTCATCTTCAACACGTACATGTGGCTTCACGGGCGTTTGCAGCGGAGTCTCAGGGTTGGACACAGGCAAAGTATGCGTGTCATTCAAAAGTTTACTAATATCCGCATCAGCCATGGTAACATCCACGTCGCCCATAGTAATATCTACGTCCATTGCATCGCTGAAGTTCATATCCATATCCTGGTGGAATAATAATTATCAAAATCAAAATAGAAATACAAACATTCCACTATATTTTAAGTAGGAAGTGAAACATTTAATTCTTTAACACCTGACACCTACGGATTTGCTACACGGCATGTGGGCACATTATGCTCTAGTTTCAACTTTCATTCAACCCACCAACCTACATGCAATCAAATACTAATTAGAATTAAGAACGTGATTTATGGCGATAAATAAACCGTTGCATACAATTATGGGCAAGAATTAATTGTGAGAAAAGTTGAAAGTTATTTGAAACAATTGAACTTGTTTATCTTACCATATCCTTCGCCATTTTGTTGTTTTCTTCCATAATTCTTGTATTTCACTGAAATTATAAACAAAAATTAGAAATTTTGTTTTAAATGTTTATACATACATAACCATTGTAATAATATGATACGTTTATGATTATCATTTAAAAATACATCGTGAATTGGTTTATTTATAGATGTGGCACTGGCACAACGAAAACAACCCGCAACGAGTGCATGAAATACAAACTGCGCCGCTAATCAAATTATCTCAAGTCAATTTAAATTAAATCAAATTCATTTTAAAGCTATGCATCGACATGATTTTTATCGCCATTTGGTTGAAAATCAATGTATATTCTGGTAAATTGAACTCTTTTCAGTTATTGAGTGATGTACATCATTTGTACAACGTGTGACAACATTTTTTATCCATTTTGGCCCCGTTTTACATCTTGAAATGAATGAAATTCAAAGGAAACTCACCTTTTTTTATTTGGCGTGATCTTCTGGCACGCAGCAATGATAAACTACGAGCAGAGGCACAATTCGAACGATCTTCACTCTGCACACACTCAGGTTATTTATAATCACTTTCAATGGCACTGCAACGGCGCAGCACAGTTTCAATGCCCGTTTGAATTCTAACCGTCAAAGCACACTACATAACTCGGCTCAATGCCTGCTCGACCGAATAAAACCGCGAACTGAATAGCAGAGCTTCGGTTGTTCGTCACCACATTCGGGAGGTTCCGGTAGCGGCGTACTAGGTTCGTGTAGGACCGATGTTGTATTTCAACCAATAGGAGAAGAGTATTTATTTTGAAGTTTAAATTGTGAACCAATGAGTCGGCGATAATTTGAATTTTTTAAATATGTCACCTTGTCACCTTGTTACAATTTGCAGCGTGAAATTACAATTTGCAAATTGGTTTAGTGTGAATAATTTTACAGATGACTCATTTATTTTTGTGTGTTGTATATTTGGACCACAAATATAACAATATCACGTATTCTTTTGTGATTTTTATTAAAGTAAAAAACAAAATGAAGCAATTTGACATTTTGCATTATTCTAAGACTAGTTTAGCATCTTTCCCGTTAATTTTCCGACAATTCCCGAACTTAAGTAAATACTCGCGCTTGGAATACGCAAAGGAAATGTCTGTTACAATGAAAATATGCGCGGTGACAAAAGCTAAAGTTGCTCCGAAGAAGAAATTCGCATTTGCAGTGCCCCAATAAATCCAAAGATCCCACAAAATCGGTGCCAGAATGGTTGTAACAACGATTGTCACACAACTTATCAAAATTTGCTGCATACCTACAAATATAAACACAAATTAATATACTTAAAATTAAATTAAATAATATTATATTATTACAATTGTATAAATGTTTCCAGCTTGGCAATAATGCCAAGGTCAGGGCAAAGTCACCGATGCTCGGATATGATTTAAAGATGGTAATCACTGAGATAAAGCACGCCGCCAACAGGGATGGATCCTTTCGGAATTTAATACTCAAAGGAACCAAGTATAAGATGGTTACGTTCATTTGATACGACCAGAGGAAAAGCAAACGGAAGTGTTCAAACATTTCCATGAAAAAGTACCAGAAAACGCCTACGTTGGGTTGTTGGTCATTTACTTGCAAGCTAGAATCACAAACAATAAAATTTAAGATACCATAAATAGTTTTTAATATAAAAAACACTTACATAAAGCCAAAAGTCTCATCTAAAAATTGCCACCCGCCATTAATCTCCTTGGAAAGAACCATCAAACCGGAAATAGCAAGTAATGCAGCAATTACAACCAAAGTAGCTTTGAAAATACTCTTTGTTCCCTTGTAAAATGATAAGTAAAGTGGTGAAATTAATACAAGTGGGTAAAATGATTGAAATGCACTCAGAGCCAATGTAACCACACTTAACAAGCAATTATCTGAAAAAATATACAAAAATAAACGTTAAAAAGTAGCTAAATGGTTAAAATAAAATATTTTCTATTAATTCATGTTTAAATATTGTCGGATAATCTAAAAATGAAAAACTTACTGTAAATTGTTCCAACCAAGAACCATGTCATCACCAAATTACTAAAAGTGCTTGTTGTGCAAGCCACACAATTGAAAATTGTGTATGGATTCAACAGAAACACAATCACTGTATACAATGGAGGCAAAGACAAGTCTTTTCCTTTCAACAGTTGATTTACAGAGTCTTTTGCATAGGTATGCTTCTCCAACTCTTGTTCAATGAATAATTGCAGCATGTATCTCTTTGAAAACAAATATAAACCAAGTGCTGTGATGATATCAGCTGCAATGAAAGCCAGTGGAAGGTTTTGGCCAAAGTTTGTGATCAAAAATGAGTAAAACTTCAAATGTATAGGACTTTCATGAAGGATATCGCTCTCATATGGGTTTATACCAAGAGAAGCTCGATAATGTCCTTCAATGACTGAAACAGACAATAAAATTAATAAATATTTGTTAAAAATAATAAAATATGATATCCAATGTTTAATTTTAGTTGAATAAATAAGTAATAAGTTAATTAGAAGTATTTTACTGTACCTCTCTTGATTGAGTTTAAAGGTGTGGTTATTTCGATGCGATCTTGAATATTTTGACGATATTGGCTGTTTACTAAGCACCATCGGATAGATATGCCCAAGAAGAACACAAAACATAACGTCAGCCGGTTGGAATGCATCTTTTTCAATTGATTAACACATTTAATTGCAAGCGAAATGCCGACTGGGATGAAGTAAAATGAACAGGTTATGATTTTGTATACATTTGCTTCTTAAGATTGACAATTAAGTATTCATCAAAACTAAACATCTTTACATACATATTAATTAAATTATTTTACAATAAAATTCCTAATGAGTTGTTTTAATATTCAAAGCATAATAAATATTTCATAGAACTAAAATCAGTTTTAGATTTTATTTAGTAGGTGTATGCATGGTTGCCTATAACCAAACGTCAAAATTGTGCGTGCGTACTCTTTCCGATCGTCGCTTGTTTCACTCCGCGGTGGTTTGTTGATGTAAAATGGTGGCCGGGCTGCGCGCATGAAAACAACGATGTTTAGACGAAAATCTCGCGTTTAGTGAGTGCAATCAGTGCGGAAAATTATTCTGCTCGCACAATTGTGAGTGGTAATAATGCGTGCGTGAATTTCGCGCGATTGTGTATTTGTTGCGCCTTTCTCGGTGCGTTTTAGTGTGCGTCGTAGAGGCGCAAATCGGCATCGCCATGTTTCCCTGCCCAGCCCAGTGGTTCATCCGAGCCGCACTGCTCTTTATTGTCTTCGGCGACATGCCGATTGCACACGGAAATCCTATTGGTGAGATTTTGTTGCCAGTTTAAGAAATTCATTTGATCACATGCATGATGTGCGTGCTTTTTGCTCGTTTTGCGAAGGAGAGTTTGGTTGCGGTTTAAGCGGCCGGCAAATGAGTTTGCGTGCGGTTGGGGATTTAGCCGGGTGAAGACGTTTGACTGGTTGCATATAATACGATAATGTAATTGATAGACAATGGTAATGAAATTTATTCAATGAGGAAGCTATTTCTAATTCTGAGCATTGAGGTGATTAATGTAGCCTTCGAAATGTTTTATAATTCTTCTCACGTAGCTAATCACAACAACTGGCAAATAATTTAGATTAAAATCATGTTTTGACATTGACCTAACCTTAAATATAAACTACTTTTGCATAAAATATATTTAAATATTTAAAATTTTGCTTTTTAAAGATGTAGATTTAGAACTCAACACGACAATCGAGGTACTCGGCAACTACGAGCCAAACCAACTTCCATTCGGCCAGAACATCAGCATCATCTGCAAAACAAAAATGGTCAAGAGTAAAATCTGGTGGACGTTCAACGATGAAAACATCACAGATAACAATAGGTATGTCTTTTATAACACGCAAAAATATGTAAAAACTCTAAAAATTTAACAAAAAAAATAAACTTGCAGATATATCATTGAACACGACTCTGAGAACATCAATCCTCAAAAACACAGCAAACTGGAAGTCTCCATCGTGCACATCCTCAGCGTGGATCTAATCCACTCGGGGGTATACACGTGTCATGCAATACAAGAAATGGAAATCGACATCTCTAAAATCACACTCAATGTAACACTTCCACCTGGGGTCATCAACGCCACCGGACCCATCAAAACCAAACTACACCAAAAGGAAGAAATCTCCTGCCTCATCGAAGGATATCCTCTGGAGGAAATCGGCTTCATGAAGGACGAAGTCATCATCACCACGCATCAAGAGACAATCGTCACTAAACACCTCAACGATACACTGCATCAAGTCTCCTTGATCATCAGCGAGGTAACTAAGAAAGACAACGGAACATACACCTGCTTTGCACGCAATGTGTTCGGCTACAACGATACTCAAGACATAGCAATTCTAGTGTTGGACAAACCCACAGTTACTCTAGATTTTGTTAAAGCCATTGGCATGACGAAAATTTATCTTAACTGGACGGTGAATGACGGTAACGAGCCACACAGCTTAAAATATACTCTACAATATAAAAGTTTGAATGATTCAAACTGGTTTTATACCAAGGATGTGATTGGAGGTTATAATCGTTCGTGGGTATTGGCAGATTACTTTGAACCAGGCACATCTTATGTTATACGAATAAAAGCAGTAAACTCCGAAGGAGAAAGTCCGTATTCCGAAAGTGATATAATCGAGACACTCAAAGAAGAACCCATATTCAAAACGGAAGTAAAAGTTACCGGATTAACTCTGAACACGATTACAATCTCATGGAAAGAACCACCGGAGCATTTAGTTGATTATGTGCAGAGTTATAGATTAAAAAGTCAGACAACAGGCGGTGATGCCCTGGAAACAATCAGTTTGAATCCAGCGGATAATCTCTACATGTTTTCCGGTTTAGCTGCCGCAACGACGTATTACTTCCAAGTGTCTGCTTGTAATGAATACAGCGGAGAGTGTGGACCATGGTCGGATCAAGTCAACGGTACAACCATGGATGGGATATCAGGACCACCGGAACACGTCCAAGTTGAATGTAGGTTTGATAATATAAGTCAGACTAATATGGTGTTAGTATCATGGAAACCACCAGGCAACCCGCATGGCACCATTATGTCTTACAATGTGAACCTGGTAAGCAATGCGTCTTTTATTAATGAACAAGGTTTATTGGAGACTACAACCTGGGGACCCAAGGCCACCTCAGTAAAACAGGATAATCTCAAAGCAAAGTTTCATAATGTTAGCGCTAATACAAATTATACAGTGCGGATATCCGCTGTGACGAAAACAAAAAAGAATGGCGATGTTGTAGAGAAGCAATGTACTATGCCACCGACTGTTCCGGATAAAAAACGCCTAAGTAGGTTGTCATGGCGGAAAATGGAGGAACAAGGTAGGTGGATTTTTAAACTGTCGATGCCCAGGGTTTCCGAACGCAATGGACCTATCTGTTGTTATCGTGTTTATCTTGTGAAAATGGAATCACAACAGAAATTGTCTGAGTTACCTAGTCCTGAAGAACTTGATGTGGTTTCCTATCAAGAAGCGCATAGAACTCCCAAAGGTGGCGCTTATGTCGCTGAGATGTTTACAAGCTCCACGTTTCATAACGAAGTCTTTTTGGGTGATGATATGGTTTATAATGTCAGCGCAACTGGGTGTGATCAATGCATAGGTCTTAGACCTTATATGAATCCACCGAAGGATAAAGACATTAAACATAACCTAAATGTTCATCAATCTGTCACAGTGAGTGATTCTGAGAGTACTGATGGTGTTTCGGATGACATAACCTCAACTGCTACTACAACCGAGAATGTTAGTTTCATTGAGAGTAATCGTGTTAGAAGACAGAATGCGCTTCCGGAACCACTTCCGCCTTTTGATGGTACACTTGATATCAACGCTAATTATACCAGTTTTGTTGAGGTTATTGTCTACGGTCAGTTAGATGGCGCTGTAATGGCTGCCTATAGTAATTACCTGATGATGATGCACCCTGGACCGGAAGTAGTTGAAGCCCCACCTTCTAGTAGCATGAGTCTGGTGGTTCAAATACTCAGCGGGTTGATTGTTATTGCGTTGATTCTCTTGACGGTGTTGTGTCTTTTACATCAGTATACTAAACAAGCGCATGCGCAGGCGGTTGAGATGATAACATTCAGGACATCGTTGAGGAATCTCCGTGGTCGTCAACGATTGGTTTCTTTGAACCCGCCGGATATGTGTCCGATTACAAAAAGTGAACTGGTGTCTGCTTACATTGAACATCACCGTGATTCTGACTATGGCTTCCAACAGGAGTTTGAACTGCTTCCTGATAGGTTCAATGATCGTACTACAAGGTCATCGGATGCTAGAGAGAATGTCTACAAGAATCGCTACCCGGATATTAAGAGTTATGATCAGACCAGGGTGAAAATCTCACAGGTTGATAGCATTGCTGGTTCGGATTACATCAATGCCAATTTTGTCCTGGGATACAAGGAGCGTAAGAAGTTTATTTGTGCACAAGGACCCATGGATACCACGGTGAATGAGTTCTGGAGAATGATCTGGGAACAACATCTAGAACTGATTCTAATGTTGACTAATCTTGAAGAGTACAGCAAAACGAAATGCGCGAAATACTGGCCGGATAAGAGTGAGATTGACAAGGTATTCGGTGAGATTACGGTTAATCATGTACAGGAAACACGGTTTTCTGATTATATCGTCAGGGAGTTGAGAATTTCACGCGCTGGGTCCCGGGATAAGGAGGAGCGTACCATTACACAGTATCATTATTTGGTGTGGAAGGATTTCATGGCGCCGGAACACCCGCATGGCATTTTGAAGTTTATTAAAAGAATGAACGAGGCACACTCTCCTGAGAGAGGGAGTATTCTTGTGCATTGTAGCGCTGGTGTGGGGCGTACAGGGACTTTGGTTGCTTTGGATTGTTTACTGCAGCAGTTGAGGGAGGAGGGACACGTGGCCATCTTTAATACAATCTGCGATTTGCGACATCAACGAAATTTCTTGGTTCAATCATTGGTAAGTTGAATAATAGTCTTTAATTTATAAATGGAGAAGTTTAATTAAATTATTTTTATGTTGTTTAGAAACAATACATCTTCATTTATCGCGCACTCATGGAAGTTGCACAATATGGCGACACTGAAATTCCTGCAACTGAATTGAAGTCAACCGTAGAAAAACTGCGACAATGTGAGAAGGATAAAAATCGAACCAGAATGGAGGAAGAATTTGAGGTTAGTTTAGTTTTTGATTGATTTTATAATAAATCTTTAAATTTGTTTTTTTTTGTTTCTATAGAATATAAAGAACGCATATGAAGATAGAAAATCATGTTCAGTCGCGTGTGGCGAAGAAAACGCCGAGAAAAACCGTTCGGATACAGTCCTCCCCTACGATCGTAACCGTGTCATACTCACACCCCTTTCCGGCAAGGAACACTCCACCTACATCAATGCCTCTTTCATCGAAGGTTACGACAACTCAGAGTCATTCATCATTGCGCAGGATCCACTTGAACACACCATACCCGACTTTTGGCGTATGGTCTCCGAGCAGGGTATTAGCGTGGTGGTGATGCTCTCAGAGCTCGGTGAGGGTAAATGTCCGCGTTATTGGCCTGACGATGATGTCGCCTATGATCACATTGCCGTGCGCTACGTACAATCAGAGAACTGCCCGTATTATACGCGCAGAGAGATGTACGTGAAGAGTCGCGACGGCGATGACTTCCGCGTTATTCACCTGCAGTATCATGGCTGGCCGACGGTCGATGGCGAAGTTCCGGAAGTGACGCGTGGGTTGATTGAATTAGTTGATCATGCACACGGCGCATTACAACAACACGGGTCGCCTACTTCCATGGTGGTGCATTGTGACCTTGGCTCGGATAGGAGTTCCATGTTTGTTGCGTTGAGCGTGCTCGTACAGCAGCTGCGTATTGAGAAACGTGTGGATATTTTTACAACTGTGAGAAAGTTGAGATCGCAGAGGCAACAACTTATCACTACTTATGTAAGTACTAAATTTTCTAACCTAAAATATTAAATGTGATTTTTTTGTTTTGTTTTTAATTTAGGCACAATACGAATTTCTACATCGAGCCATTGTGAATTATGCCGAGCTGCACAATCTCTGCGAGACATAATTCTCCACGCTGAAGGTTTGTAGCATAAACTGCTAGTTGCGGTGGTTGACATAACCTCAATTGGCGCTTAACCAAAAATATTTTGTAACTCGACAACGTACAAAACTTCTATTGAAACTATTTACTCCCATATTGTATCTACTTTTACACGATTTCGATTTGCGAGAGAAGAAACACGAAATTTGCGTACCAAAAATGAAAGTAACGAGAGACTCAACGACCAAAGGTGATTTTTTTTTTTTGTAAGAAACCTAAGCGAAACAATGTTTTTGTTTGCCATAATATATGAAGTAAGCAGCGTTCGCTAAAATTTGCTCACATTTCCTAATACTCAAGCCAAAAACAAAGTCACAAAATATTTTTTGTAAAAATTAAGGGTGCCATAACATAACCTACCATGTATATGTACTAAGGCAGAAAAAAGAAACAATTATGAGTCTGAAATATTTAAAATTTAAACGATCGGAGGAGGTTTTTGAACAAGTCAGTTTTAAATGTATAAAAAAAAAATAAGGTGAAAGATTGCTGGGTGCTTACTGTCTACTCAAGTGACAAATATGTGTAACATTTCTAGTTGATTCAATAACCGATAGTTAAAAAACTTAATCATAGACTAGAAATAATTATTTCAATTTGTTTGTTTGATTGTCAAAAATTCATATTTTGCTACGCTGCTCATATGTGTAAGCAACCCAACACACACGTACACATTCCAGTGTTTTCCATTTTTCTGTAGGCGTATTTATTGCATATGTAAAAAAATATTTATAACAATTTATGATATTGTACGGTTCGACGTTTGCATCGCATGGATGGAAGTATTTTGACGGCGACGCCATTTTATTAGCACTTAAACTGCTAGAAATATTTTTACTTGTGTTATTTAGTCAAAGTCGGCCATTTTGATAGCTGCAAAATTCATCCATCCATGCATCAAGATCCAACCATATTATGACGTCATTTTGCGTAGTTTTTGTATTTTTGTAACCGAAACTCAACAAGACGGAAAAAAGCTTAAGCAATACGTGTTACCAGTGATTGTAACTTACTCAAACTACTTCTTACTCACACTTCTTATTGAGATTATTGTGTCATATTTTAAACCAATGTAAAATATGTAGGTATTGTATTTTTGTTTTAACTTTCGTTGTTGTTTGTAAAAATAGCTTGGATGTCACTTAGTTTACTTCACTCACTCTCTTGATGACTTATTGAAATATTGAAATATCAAATCTCATGATATCACCGTCTAACAAAGTAATTGTAATCGTGTGTACATATATAAGTCCGTTTGTTTTATTTTTGATGTTTGTTTAACTAGTTGTTAGTCGATTCATTCATACTTGTAATCGTCAATAATTAGCGAGGACGCCATCTTGTGTGATGCGCATGCGCATATAATATGATACTATATGACATGATAATACGTAGGACACAAATATTTATTTATTATTTTTTGATATTTGTATATTATTTTTTGATTATTATATTGCTTTTTTGATATAATAAAATTATAAATCTTTAGGAATAAATAAAATTAAATAAATAGATTAATTTAGGATGTGTGGGATGACGCGAAAAGGAAACAAAATGGCGGATTACATTAGAGTGCTTTACGTTAATTTGATTGGCGGTTTGGGGGCCACGCCTCTTTGCTTACAGCGAATCGCAGCGCAGCGATATTTTTTATTAGTGTATTTTCCAAGTCTGTTTATTTGCCGTACAAGTGAAACAGGTCCAATTCTTCTCAGCAACCTTTAACAACAAAAAACTTTAATTTTTAAGTTAAATATTTAATGTAAATACTAACTTGACGAATCTATTGTGGTACAACCCGAGAGCATTCGCCGTTTTGCCCGCCTCGCAAGCAAAACGTTCCATGCAATCATAACCATCGATTGCCTCAAGGGCCACCCTTCCGATACCATACAACTCCTCCTCTTCCTCTTGAAGCCCCTCCCTGCGCCATCCTTTCGGTTTTAGTTTATGAAACTTTGGCAGCACCAGTGCTGACAGAATAAACATCACCGTCATGCCGATGAAACCCGATATTGCCATAAACAACGGTTCCAACCCTTTCTTCTTATCATCCATCATCATTGTGGGTGGCTTGGGGGTGTTGATGTTGACGTTGTGCTGCGATTGTTGCAATAGCTTTAATAGCACATTGCAGGTGCAAGATTAGTGCTCATCACACACACACATTCAAATTTGCATAGGTGATTACATGCGGAATGTAATGTTTGACATTATAGGTTATGTAACTAACCTGATGTGTATGATGTGTATGTGGATGATAATATGGATCATGATGGTGGTGATACGCTGGTTGCGGATGATACGATGATGGCGGATGATAATACGGCGCCTTGTACGACTGGCTGCTCTGAAACTGTCCATTTTTTCTAGTACTTTTATTGTTTTGATCACTCGCAGCGCTCGAGTTCTACAAATGTGAAAGAAACAAAGCGAAACAAGGAAATGGAAGATTAGAATCAATTTTTAAAGCGAAGTCCGGTTCTGTCTGTCATCCGGTCCTGTGTAAGTAGCTACGTAACTCTTAAGCTCTTAACACGCAAACGTTTTGTCTTTTTTTTTAAGTCTACTTAAATGTTACATTTGTTACAGTTTTCTACGAAGTAATGAAACGTGAAATATTAGCAGATTGCGTGCTTGGAACACGAAAATTACGACTATGTCAAGCAATTATCAAGTCATTCACTTTAAAACGGTTTGCACAAATTTAAATCAGTATATAACTAACCTACATAAACAAAAATGTTTTTTTTTATATTTTTAGGTTAATTTGGTTACTTACCTGACTAGGAGATAATACACTTGGAGAACTCGCCAACTCATCCATGAAACTCTTCAACGGATAATAATAATAGTAGTATCCGTTATCAGGACGTTTCGCTGCGTTGAGGTTAGGTTTGGTAACATGGCCGCCAGCGTCCACCTCATGCACAGCTGCGGTTATAGGATCTCCCGAGTGGTTTTCACCACCATCCAGTTTTATTGTGTCTCCTTTATGTACGGCATTTGCATATAAAGAAGCAAGTTCTGATTTTGTAAGATGCAGGGCTGGTACAGCAGCTTGTGATCCTTGCGCGCCTTGTAATGCTTGTATTGTTGGTGAGCGTGGTGGTTGCGCTGAATTATGGTACTCTTGGTAGCCATGACTCTCTGAGTATTGTGGTGGTGGTGGTTTTGTTTCTTCGTTGTCATCTGAAGCAGCGGATACCATCGAGGCTACATTGTCTAACATTTTGTCTACTTCCGCTGAGAGTGAGTCGTGCGACTGCGCAAAACTCGCCATTTCCGGTGGTGGTGTGTATACACGACGCAAGGAGAGTGTGTTTAAAGATGGCTGACTCTGTTGATGAATTAATAATTGATATTTTTGTGCGTTTTTCAATAAATTGGGAAGAAATCACTACTCACATGCCCAATTCCTGATTGTTTACTGTTTGTTTTCAATTTAAGGTCCTTAATAGTATCCTGTAGGTATTTCTGTGAGAGTTGCGTGTTTTCCGCGCACAATGTATAAGATAACAGCAGGATAACAACCGGAAAGTCCATGATTATAAACTCAAACACCTTTTGTTTCATTTTTTAAACAAAAAAATAAAACGAAAATTGTTTTTTTTTCTGTTAGACTGTTTAACACTGTATGCTATACTTAAACATTTTTTTTTTATTGAAATAAAAATTAATCGCGTGCGAATTCTTCGGAACGTTTGAAGCGTTTGGCGCGACAATGTCGAATGGTCGAATGTTTTGCCATCGCTTGGTTGAGCGTTTGTTTTGCATGGTCAAGACCAAAGCCAAGATGGTCGAATGGGTCGAATTTTAGGAATCCGTTAGAGGGACGCCATACACCAGCGCAAATGCGTATCATTTACAGTGTCAGTCGCGCGTAAAGTGGTAATTTTTGTCGTGGCTTGTCGTGCGCCACTCGGTATTAGAACCAGGTTACTTAACAACCAAACAATATGGTATAATATGCTAAGAAGTTGATTGACAAATTGAAATGCTCTGTCAATCCACTTGAAAAATGACTTGGTTTATTTTTTACTAAACTGCTTACATTATTTAATTTAGCTGGGCGTGGATAGGAGTTCTACTGACATTGTTTATAGTAACTGCTATCAATCATGGATGAGGTCGTGAACGTGTTTGACGTTATATGAAATAAATTGTCTATGAAGAGCGGATAATTCTATTGGAAAGATATTCATATTCAAAAAGACATTTTTGCTATTTTTAAATATGTAATCTTTTTAAATCCTTTAAATTTTATTTTTTCGACATTTTAATATACCTAGCAAAGTAATAAATGCAAATGTGAGTTTGAGTTATGACGCTTTCCCGCAAAGTCACTGAACAGGAAAATATCATGGGTTACTTTTAGTAGAAAAGATATAACTTGCAGGGTGTATAACTTGCAAGATGTAAGAGATGCAAACGGATAAGAAGATATTTATAGTAATATAATTCGAATTGAGATGGCGGTAATGTTCAGTATTCTTCATTTATTTCTTTATTTCTGGTATTTGTTTACAATTTATTGGCTTCTCGGCACATAACAAGTCCAAAATAGCAGAAAATACTTACTTACCCAACTATTGTTTACAAAAATCAATGCCAGTAGTTTAAAATATGTTTAAGGTCAATATTTTAAATATTATAATGAAAATATGGCAAGGAAAAATATGCTTATATGTAATTCCCACAAATATCACCAACAATGCGATGAATGTCCTGCCATTGACACGTGGCGCTGATAAGTTGGTAAATAACATTGTTTCGCGCATAACCGCGAAAATAATCAGGCCCAATTATTATTTAACAAGTTTATTTTTAAGTTTTAATTATTATTATCATTAACTAAACTAAAGTTAACGAAACCGACTGAACCAACTCAATAATATTATTAATCACTGACTGAATGCAAGTGCAAGTACATATTCAACATGGATGTCATGTTAGTAGCGCTGGAAGATTCTAATCTGCAAGAAATAGAAGAAGTAGATGTTGATGATAATTGGAAATTAGTCAAGTAAGTTTAGGCAATAAAAAACATAGTTTAAAACTAGATTTATATAATTTTTATGATTATATGTTTAGAAGTGATGTATTAACATTTATTATAAATGGGGAGAAAAAAACTGTGCCTACAATTAATCTCACACCGGAAATGACTTTGAATGAGTACCTGAGAGATACATTACATCTCACAGGCACAAAATACATGTGTTTTGAAGGCGGATGTGGAGCGTGTGTAGTTGCGGCCACTATTCGCAATCCTAGGACAAACGTAAAAGAAACTCATGCTGTTAATTCAGTAAGTTAAACAAAATAAAATTTAAAAAAATTGAAAAAACATTATCATCATAATATTTTCTTGGTTATTTAGTGTTTGGTAGCTTTGTTATCCTGTCAAAATTGGGAAATCACTACAGTTGAACATCTAGGCAACCAATATGATGGCCTGCATGACATTCAACAGAAAATTGTGACATTTAATGGCACCCAGTGCGGCTTTTGCACCCCGGGCATGGTTATGAATATGTATGCTCTTCAAGAAGCCGACAAAACTAAAATGGCAGAGATTGAGAATTCATTTGGTGGTAATATGTGCAGATGCACTGGATACCGTTCTATTTTGACAGCTTTCAAATCAATGGCGCCCGATGCTAATCCCGCTGTCTTAGGAATCATACCGGATATTGAAGAATTGAGGTTATGCTCAAAAAGAAACAAAGAAAACTGTCAAAATGATTGTCAACATAACTGTGAGGTTAAACTACCGTTAGAAATGAATTTAAGAGGTGACAACTTGGAAGATTTGAAAGATGCTCAAAACTGGTATAAAGTACAAACAACCAGAGATATTTTCAATTTGTTTAGGAGAAATCGTGGAAAAACTTATCAATTGGTTGCTGGGAATACCGCTAGAGGTCTATACTTCATAATTACTTCAATAATTGAATAAATAAATACAAGTTAAATGATTTATTTTAGGAATTTACAAGGAAATATCACAAAAAGATTATTACATTGACATAACTGACGTAAAAGAACTAAAAAACTATCAATTGAACACTAAAAATTTAAAACTAGGTGGGGGGATGTCCCTGAGTGAGGTTATGATTGTTTTAAAAGACGTGGCAGGGCGTGATGATGATTTTAAATATTTACAAAAATTTGTTGAGCATTTAGATTTAGTTGCTCATATTCCCGTTAGAAATGTTAGTAATTTCAAACATAAACAATCTAAAATTAAAATAATTAATTAAATTTTAGGTTGGGACACTTGCTGGAAATTTATCCATTAAACACGCATATAATGAATTTGCATCGGATGTTTTTCTATTACTGGAAGTCGTTGGAGCTAAAATAATCGTAGGTAAGTGAACATAAAATTAACAATAGCTTTACATAGGCAACCAAATTCACACACACAAAAATGGTAACTTTATAGATAATGGCGGATTATTTAAGAAATCTCTACTTCCACGTGATTATCTTAATTATAACATGAATCAAAAAATCATCCTCAGTGTCGAGCTACCTCCAATTGACGATAGTTATAAATTAGAAACATACAAAATAATGCCACGTGCACAAAACGCTCACGCTTACCTAAACGCTGGTTTTCTTGTAAAGATGAACAAAAAGAATGTTGTTAGCTCCGCCACGTTTGTTTATGGTGGAGTAGCTCCTAATTTCATCCATGCAAAAAATTCCGAAGCATTTATCAAAGGCAAACAGCTTTTTGACAATGGTAACATGCAGAAACTCTTTGGTAAACTATATTCCGAGGTGCATCCAGAGGATAAATCACCAGATCCACCACCAGAGTTTAGAAGACGACTTGCTGTGTCTCTAATGTATAAATTTATACTTAGTATTACACCGGAGAGCGCGGTGTCCAAAGCTAATAAAAGCGGAGGTAGTAAATTGAAAAGACCGGATGTTTCAACCGGCGTGCAGGATTACAAAACAAATAAGTCTATGTATCCGATTGGGGAAGCAGTTACAAAGTTAGAAGCACCTATTCAAGCCACTGGCGAAGCGGAATATATTACAGACATGCCCGATTTGCATAATCAGTGTTACGCTGCGTTTGTCACGGGGAAAGCTGCAGCTGGGTCCATTTTAAGAAGCATTGACGCTACTGAAGTATTGGTAAGTAAATATATTTCATAGTTTTAATGTAGGCAACCAAATATTCATTACGTTTAGAAAATGGAAGGCGTTGAAGGATTCTTCCAAGCATCAGACATTGATGATGTAGGCGGTGTAAATTCATTCCTTTCCCCAAATCCAATTTTCTACCGTGAAGATGAGGAAATTTTCCTTCCAATTGGTCAACCTATAAAATTCTACTACGAACCTGTTGGTGTTGTTGTGGCTAACTCTAGAAGATTAGCCCAACAAGCTGCTGGGATGATTAAAGTTACCTTTGAACCCTCTGCGCATTCTCCAATTCTTACAACAAAAGAAGCAATGGAGGAAAAATCAAAGGAGCGTATTCATCATCTTGAAACCCGTGTGGCAAAGAAGCAAAACCATAATGTCCCTCACAAAATAAAAGGTGTTTTTGAAACAGATTGGAAGTACCATTATCACATGGAATTGCAAGTCGTCAATGTTATTCCAGGAGACAATGGATACTTTGACATTTATCCATCCACTCAATGGATGGATAATGTACAGTATTCTATTCAAAGGGCGTTGAATATTCCCGCGCATAAACTTCGCATTGCTGTTAAACGCCTCGGAGGCAGTTTTGGCGCCAAAATAACACGAAACAATTGGACATCTGTTGCTGCAACACTAGCAGCGATGAAACTAAACAAACCAGTTAAATTTATGATTCCTTTGGTTGATAACATGAATGTAATGGGAAAGAGGAACTGTTATAGGAGTGAATATGAAGTTGGTGTTGATAAAGATGGCGTCATAGGGTTCCTAGACAATAACTTGTATAATAACATTGGAGCATATCAAAACGCCATGTTGGAAGGATTTGTTTTAGAACTGTATGAAGGCACATATAGAACAGACGCCTTTCAGACTGATACATTCTGGGTAAGGACGGATAATCCAGCGGCGACTATGATGCGTGCACCTGGGAGTTTTGAAGGATGTGCGATAATTGAAAATATTCTTGAGCATATCGCTTATAAAATTGATAAGGACCCAATTGATGTTAGAATGGCCAATTTAAACACCGAAGCTAATCCTTTATTGAAAAAATTGATTGATGATTGCTTAGAATGGTCGGAATACCGGAAAAGAAGAGCTGATATTGAAACATTTAATAAGGTTAGAATATTTTAGGTTATGTTGATGTAGCTATGTATTAATATAATTTATACAGGAGAATCGATGGAGGAAGAAAGGAATTGCAATTGTTCCAATGACTTTCGGAATGCTGTTCGTTGCACCGTACAACGTACAAGTTAGTATTTTTCATGCGGATGGCACCATAGCAATATCACATTGTGGAGTTGAAATGGGTCAAGGTATTAACACCAAGGTAATACTAACTTTAAAACTAAAACCAAAAAAACTAATGTTTTGATTCTGATTTTGATGGTTTTATGATGTTTAGACTGCACAAGCAGCTGCTTACCTATTCAAAGTAGATATCTCCATGATTGAAATATGGCCGACCAATAACTTTGTATCTCCCAACTGTTTTGCAACTGGTGGTGCTGTAACAACCGAAAGTGTACTAATCGCACTCAATTCAGCCTCCGAGAAACTTCTTTCTAGAATAAACGAAGCAGCTACATCTGCTAAACTTCCCTCGGATGCTTCTTGGTTGGATCGTGTACGTAATGCATTTGATAACGGTGTTTCCCTCACTGAAAATCAACACTTTTCTAATGATCCAAATGATCCTACAACGTTTAAAGTATACGGGGTGTGCGTGAGTGAAGTGGAAGTTGATATTCTAACAGGTGCGCATATTGTTCAAAGAGTTGACTTGTTGGAAGATGCAGGTAATCCTTTGAATCCTGCGATTGATATTGGGCAGTGTGAGGGCGCTTTTGTAATGGGAATGGGTAATTGGACCATTGAGGATATTGTTTTGAATGAGGAAGGGGCATTAACGACTAATTCAACATGGTGGTATAAAATTCCAGGAGCGAAGGATATTCCGGTGGATTTCAGGGTTAAACTTCCTGATGGGGTGCCGAATCCCGTTACGCCGTTTAGAAATAAAGGTAATTATATAACATTAAATATTAATAAATGACTTGTTTGGTTTTTATGTGTTTCATATTGTGCAGCAACAAGTGAGCCACCGATTTGTCTGTCGTTTGCTGTCCCCCTGGCGATAAAACATGCTTTGAAGTCAGCTCGGGTTCAATCGGACGCAAAAGCTGATCCATGGGCAGTAATGGGTAAGTAAACTTTAAAAGTTTGTGATTTGTGTTTTAATTGTTTGTTATTCATATGATTTACAGAAGGACCTACTACAATTCAGTGGATATTTGACAATGCGCTACCAGATTATAAACAATATAAACTTTAAAATAATTAATATAAAAAAAAAGCAACTAAATGGTGAAATGATTTTAAATTTTATTTTAAACAATTTCAAAATACTGTCTACAATATAACTTCATGTGGATAATAAATACTATATGCTTATCTACAACAATTAGTAAATTTTAATATTTGTTGACTCCATAATCTTTTGCATGACTTATTCTGCTTATTCTGTGCCGTATAATCTATTCATCAATGCGAAGTACGAATAAGACATCCTCACCAACTGCAAAAAAATTAATATTATTAATAACTCTAATAGAAACTAAACTTTCAACTTACTCCAGTATAAGTGACCATATTGCAAACAGATAATTTCCCAGCAGTTATAACCGTTGGCCGTTTTGCTCTTTCCATAATCAACATTACACTTCTGTTTACCGACTTGTTTGATCGATACCACTGCGAAAAGAAGCAAGCGTCACGGATTTCCTGACTCTGATTAATAAAAAGGTAACAATTACTGTAAAAATCAAAAATTCAACGTGCAAAAATACGTACCTTTAACATGACTTTATCACCATATACACAATACAATCCTAATTGGTAGAGTAAAGCAATTGCATAACATGCCAGAAACAAAATCTTTATTATATTGTCTTCCATCTAAAAGTAAAAAAAAAAAACATTTTTAGAAACATAAATTTTATCAAAAATATATTTTTAATACCTACCATAAATTGAAACCAGGTATTACAAATTGCCAGAACGCTTGTTGTAAATTGTGACAACAATAGATACGAAAATACACTTTCCACATCATCTACTATGCTGCAAATATTCTATAAGTAAATATATCTTACTTAAGGAGTTTCGACGCATTGTAGCACCACAAAACAAAAACATTTTTTGCCTCACATTTCTAAAATAATGCAAATTTTTTAAAACCGTTTTACGCATACAAATCAGAATTAATTGCTTTTTTAATATCGTTAATTAATATTTTTGATTTCGCGCTTTAATGCATCGTAATTCCCCCTTAATAATAATCTCATACTCTAGTATTTTTAAATGATGTTTCGCACAGTCATTCAAATAATTTTTAATAGTAGCATCCAATTTGGGATCCATATCAGCTTCAGTATTTCTAACACCTCGATCAATTTCTTCAGTTGAACGTCCAGCCCATTGCCTGCAGTTAATAATTTTCTCCTTTAATATTTCAAATTGCGTGCTACCAATAGACACCAAAGACATAGCAACACAATCCATGGTGCTATTATTATAGCAAGTATTGGCCATGGTAATAACTTCATAACAATGTATCGGATAATACCACTTCCCCAACTCAAAAACTGAAAAATTCAGTGCTAATCCAGCGTTCATGAATGGTTTGACTGCGGATAACGTAACCATGTTAGCAGCGAAGAATTGAAATGTCTTAGCCATAATCATTGTGAATCTGTTTTCTTTATGTACGTATGTGTAGCATTGCGTGGGAAAATCATGCAATACAGGATCTTCAAGTTTCTCAAAGAGTGATATAAGTGTGTTGAATTTGAACTCAAATATTGTTCGTTTAATCAACCATGAAAAGTAAGACGTTGTGACTGATAATGTTTCAGTTAACTCTTTGATTTCATCGTTTTGGTAATTCTTACGCATTTCAACAAATAAGAATATGTGAATTGATATATCCAGGCACCAACTGAAAATTTTCTTCATCCTGTAAGACCAGGATGGGTTGCGTTGCGGCCATGTTCCCGAAAAGGTAAGCACAGCTCTTAAATATTCGACTACGTCTAAAACGTGTGAATTTCGTGCAGTTTTCATTGCTGATCCAGTTTTATTATAGTTATGCAGTTGGCAAGATATAAATTTCAACTGTTATTAGCTTTCATTGAATCGAATGATTTATAGGCTGCTAATGTTATATTAAAAACATAATTCTATAATTGTTTTGCATTTTAAAGCGTTTTGCAGCGTGTGCCGTTGTTAATTACTTCAATAACACGATATAATTGACCCTTTTCTTTTTCCAACTGCGTGCTGACTAGGAATCTGAACAACTGTTTTACTACGCATTAGACTTGTTTACTACGAGTATCATGCATTTATTATTAACAGTTGCAATATACTTAAGATCTATACACGTGCTTGTTTATATTTCAACTTGCAATAATTATTAAAATTTAGGCCCGGTGGAGCGATTTAGTTAATTCTGGTATAGAAATATTTGAATTAGTTCTATGAAAATTGAAAAAATCAGAAATTATAAAGAAATTGCAAGGATTCAGTAAAAAATAGAAGAAAATAGTAAAAAATAATAATTCTAATCTTCAATGCGTGCATGTGGTGGTGCGGGAAATGCTCTGTATCTCCTGAATTAATTTCCTTTCTTTAAATTTCTTGGTGTCATTATTGCTTATTGACTTAACTAGCTTATCTTATAAAGAATATTTTGTAGATTAATAATTTGTGTTTATAATAATTCGGGCTTAAGCTTTAGGGTAGAATTAGCACAAACTTGTTTTATCTTTCCTTCCTTTCCGTTTGATTTATGTCTTGATTTTGTTCAATTGTGCAATTACCGCATTTACAATGCGCACCGAACATACATAATCTAAGATAAACATTATCTTAATTATTGCTGTTTAATAATCGTTATTGTTACACTATTTATGTAAAACCGACTAATATTAAATGAAAAATAAACCATATTTTACATTCAACTTCTAAAATTAATTATATACATCCGAACTTTTCATTTTCAGGTAGTTTTAACTCAATTTTTAACATTGAAAAAATAAAATCTACCTCTTTAAGTTTATAGTGCAGATTACATAGTAATTCTAAACAAAACTAAATACAACAACTACAAAGTTCGTGTCTACAGGTAGAGCGAATGTATTGTTGATCCGTTGGTCGTGGTTTATGTACACAGTCAGGTATCTTAATCCCACTTTTTGCTGATAAGATTAAGTCGGACCATTCGTTCATGTGCGTTCACTGATACAGCACTTGTGTACTTGCAAAGAAGGCGTGGCCTTGCCGCCAGGTAAGAATAAATGAAGGCGTTTCAATGTTCCACCTTGAAACATGCTGGACGATCTCCCCTAGTGCTGCATTTACATACCTGAAACAAACTCAATTAGAATCCAACTAGAAACTTGTTTATATGCTCCTACCTGTATTTGGACCCGCTGAATCACAATCCGCAATCAGAATTTCGAAATTCTTATCACATCAAGAGTTATTATCAAGAATACATCAAATTATTCACCTAACGCACTAATTCCTGTCCAACCCATGTAGTTTAAACTAAATTCAATCCTCCATAAATGCAAACACAGCGTTTCTAGGAGTATCTTCACGTGTTTAAGAAGCACCCGTAGCCAGAATTGCAAATTTCCATCTCCTTTCACTGTTATCAGCACCAATAGCAGCACAGCTCATATCAGGTTTCACACTGAGTCTGCAACAGAGAAAAAGTGTTTAAAAACGCACAATCTTGGATATAAACTTTTATCAGACATTATTTCACGTTCAGAATATGTCTGTGTTATCAAATCTGTATTAAACTGTAGATTTATACAAATAAAGTGTGATTTATAGGTTGTGAAGTTATTTTAAGTTATATCTTTGCATATATTAGTAAATTCGTCGTTTTTTTAAAGCAGCTATGTAGTTTAACTATTCCCTAAGCTTTTTACACCAACATACACATGAAACAACCACTTGTTAGGCTTCAGCAACTGAAAAATCGCGCCCCAACACTCCTCATTTATATGCACTAAGTTTCCACACACATAAAAAGCTCAACACATTATCACAACAGCAACAAATACATTGACCACTTAGCTAAGATCCTAATTGTTGTCTCCAAGGCTGATTTTCCTGGTTCTGAGTTGTAATTAACTCGTGGGGGCCCACAACAATGTTGCAAATTGAGGTTCAGGTATACCATATGTTTCCAATTGGATCACAGCATCCACAAAACGTATCAGCACCATAAAAGGGTCGATATCGATAGTTTATGAGTTGATCTATCGATTACCGGCCTAGGATTTACGTTTTATGCAGCAGGAAATCCGTGAGACACCGGCAAAACACACCTGATGCACTTGAAACACACACCTCGTGTAACTTTTTAATTAAAGTGAGATTCGTGAAAATAACACTCTCCGGGGTGTATTCGACTGCGAGGATCACGATGCCGCATTTGGATTTAACTTTTAACGTGCGATTGAAGAGAAATTCGCAAAAACATTTTTGATGTCAACGGTTTTTCTTCTTGAAGTTGACACGTCAACGGTCGAAATTTGTTTCGCGAATAAAAACCAAACCTCACTATAGATCCTCAAGTGCGATACACCGTTGGAAAGAGCGCTCAATAATGCACATTTTGTGTCATTCCCGATTTAATTCGTTAATTTTTTCGCAAAATAATTTTTCTTCCATAAGAACCCGGGTAAAAATGTACGAATTTTTAAACATTTATTTCAGCGGATTTAGACCATCTTGAAGCGAAAACAATGTATCAAAATTCATGATATTAATCCTAGATTGTTTTCATAAAGTTAGAATTATCACATAGTGTCTAAATAAAAAGTTAAAATTTTTGTTTTGCAAATTTTTTCCCGCCAACTCGGAAACTATATAATGCGGCAATTTTAGATCGGCTCGATCACTTCAATTTCATACTTTTTCGGGTGCACATCGTCACGGTCGCTCTGCGCAAAAATTTGCCTTGAATTTTTGGCAACCTCGCAAGGGTTAGTTTTCGTCAGTCGGCAACAGCCAATAGAATTCGTCCGTTCGTTTTAAACATGGCGGTTAAACTGATACGTTCGAACTTGAACAAAGGAACAAAGAATTTAACACATTTAAATTACTAGTGTAACCTAAAATCAATTGGTGAGTATCAAAACAAAAGATATGATAATTTAATTAAAAAATTTTAAATATTTATTTTTATTTTTAGAGTTACCTACTATGAACGAGAGTAATAAAAACAAGCTTATTGTGAAAAAAGAACGAATAATTTCTAACAACCCACTGGTTAATTGGTAAGTATTATTAACGAAAACAAATATCAAAACATTAAAATATTTTAATTCAATTTTTTTAAATATTTTTTAGAGCTAGAAAGAAGAATACGTAACAACCTATTGTGACCTGTGAATATTTTCTAATAACCCGGTGTGAAATTGGTGAGTATTAAAACAAAATAAACAATAATACATTAAAATATTCTAAATTAATTAAATTTTTTTAGAGTTATTATTAACGAGCGTACCTACCAACACACATCCGAACGAAAGAAGTGAGCATAAAGAAACTAAAGCAATTTTGCTGATTGAGAATTATTTACCGCTTAGTGTGAGAAAACAAATCATTTCACCCTTAATTTCAGACAGGGAACCCAGTGACTTCGGTAAGTTTTCTATAATTTTATAAATTTTTCACTTTTCTGTCCTTGCATGCGATATTAATAATTAAATACTAATAAATTTTGTTTGCTTTAGGAAACAACAACTACATGAGACCAAGTGATGGAAAACATTGAATAGATCAACAACCTAGGAAGGAACCAATAGATAAGGAATGGACCGATACGTGACAAAAGGATCAATGAAGGAAGGATGGACCAATAGATGAGGAATGGCCCGACCCCCCAACACCAAACTATCCCAAATCAACGATGGATTCTCCTGCGAAATGTTGCATTGACACCGTAGTGCGACATTTCGAGGAATGGGATTAAGGTAGGCAGGGGTGATGTCACTGATCAGAAGGCTGGCGTATGCATGACACTCTTGTATCTGGGGGTGGCGTGTGTAACCAGTACTTGGTCATTCGACTAATCCTCCCAGCATTGCTAGAAACGCCGGATGTCTATAAACAGTGAGTTTACATTTATTATTCCTATCGTGATCGCGGTAAATTCAATCGTGTTTCAAACTCAAAAACTCAAAGTTTATTAACAATTTGTATTAATTTCGTTAATAATAATGGTTCACCGTGAACACTTTTCTTGTACTTTGCTAATTTGCTCTTGTTTCAAGCGAATCTTGTTTATTATCCGTTTTCGCACGAAAGCACGTAAAATCTCACGCGCACACACACACAAACACTAAATACAACACAATCACTTACACTTTTGCCCTGTTCGTTTCGGCGAGCGTCTGGGTTCTTGGGTTTTGGGTGTGTCTAGGCACATTCTTTACCTTACATTCTCAACACAACACTTACACGTTCTGTTCACGCAGAACACCACAAATAACACTAATCAAATCAATGCATCGGTCGGGGCATTTTTTAGCAGAGTTAAATCTGCATAGTGAACAATTTTAAGAATGAATGGATTGATTGTTGAATGGATTATTACTTTGTATGCGTGTGTTGTATTGTATTTCATTTCATTTGTGTATGTCGTGTTAAATTTTGGGCAACCAAAAGCCGGCTGCTGCCGCTGGGATGTAGCAGTCGGTCACTTTTGTTTTCGTTGCAAAATCGTTTTGCACATCGAGCACAAATCGTCAAACGCGTCGCGGGTTAGGTGCGCTCTTTTTTTATTATAATCGGTTTGTGCTCAAAAGCTATCTCATGTACTTAGGTAGGGACAAAGGCAGGTCTTATTAAAATAGTTATAAGTATCCTACTCCTCTTAGCTGTGTGAATGATGAATATTGTTTAGAAATTTGTGTACTAATCTTTTTCCGCTTTCAGGATAATCGCGAATTAGCTATTGGTTGTCATTAGGTAGGGGTTTAGGTCCTTCCTTATCCTTATTAATGTCTTTTTTCTTACAGCAATTTATATGTGTGTACTAATCTAATTTA